GTGGCAGTGGTTTCACAATTAGGTCAAAAGTGACCAAACTGTACACTTTTACTCTGGGCAATTTATTTCACTTCCTTTGCATCTCAATGAAGTTGGAAACAAAAGAGACCGAAAGCAAGAGGTCACATGACACTGGGGTTAATGGTGCGGATTCTGCAGCCGAGGGGCCGGGTTCCCAGCGCAGGCCGCATCCTTCCTACTGTGCGAGCAGGGAGTGCTTTGAGTGACTCCGGTTCCACGGGAAACCTCAGTTTCCTCATCCATGGAAAGGGAGGCAAGGACAGAACTCGCCTGAAAATGCCCTTCTAGACGCGAGTGCGGGGATGCAGGCAGGGCGCGCAGAGCCTGGTCCCCGAGGCCGTGATCCCCTAGACCGCGGCTGCTCCTGGCAGTAAAAGACCATCTTCCACCAAAACACAAAGTTAACACAGCAAAATGTGAGAAAAGCACAAGAGCAACAGCAGGAGTGAGTGGGGCTGTCACCACAGATGGGACAGACCTTCTAAGGCTCCCGGGGACTCTCTGGCGAGGGGTGGGGGCCGCCAGCCGCAGCCCACGAGGCTGATGGCCGCAGGATACCACAGGACGCGGCTGCTGGCTGCTCGGAAGAGGACCGGGGAGGAAGTCACCACGCGTCCACAAACCTGTCTCCAAAGGAACTGCTGCCACTTCTTTATTTCTTTTAGGATTTTATTTATTTGTCAGAGAGAGAGAGAGAGAGAGCACAAGCAGGGGAGCGACAGGCAGAGAAAGAAGCGGGCTCCCTGCAGAGCAGAGACCCTCCCCCGCCAATGCGGGGCTTGATCCCGGGACCCTGGGACCAGGACCTCAGCCACAGGCAGACGCTTCACCGACTGAGCCCGCAGGCACCCCCCTGTTGTCACTTCCACCACCGCCAGTCACACGGAGCTCAGTCTGCCTGCAGGGAGGGCGAGACCCGGGCCCCGCGCGGGCAGCGAGGGTACCGAATGCTGAGGGGCATCCTTCCAGACTCCCACAGCCCAGCCAGAGGGACACTGGGCGGCGTGACGGGACACTGGGGCGGAGCCACCGGGAGCGAGCACTTGACGGGCACCCGATGGATCCCATCTGGCTGGGTTTGCCTTACGGGCAGCCCAGAGGCCGCCCGCCAGCGTGCTCTGCTCGCTCCCCAGGCCCAGGGCGGCCTCCGGGGGCGGCTTCGCACGGCTCTCCCAACCGGGCGCCACAGGAGGGAGGACGGGGCCTGGGTTTGGGAAGGGCCTGACAGGACCGGGACTCGCCCCAGGGAAGCCAGACGCCTCACGGCGCGCAGTTGATAGAGAAGGCACACGCGGAGCCCCACGTCCAGGCGCCCGGGCCAACGCGGAGCCTCTCGGAGGGCGGCCGCTCCCGCAGAAGCGCTCCAGAGGGCGGGAAGCCAGGCACTCCGCCCGAGGCAAGCAGTTTCGCTTGCGAAGAAGCTCGCCCACAGGCCTGGAGAGACTGAGACTCTCTCTCTTCCCAGGTGGCTACCCAGTATCTCAACAAACGCATCTTTAGGGTTCAAACAATAAAAAAATAAAAAGCACGTTTATATGTCCTTCATCTTTGTGCCTCGGAACAATTTCAGACTTACAAGAAGGTGACAGAGTTCCCAGAAACGCCTCCCTCACCTTCCTGTGTAATGCCTCACACCGCCACAGGACGACAAGCAAACCCAGGGTACTGGGACTGACACAGCGGCGTCGCCTAACTGCAGACCTTTCCGAACGCCGCCCATCTCCCCATTAACATCCTCTGGACGGTCCAGAAGCCACACCACCGCTCACTGTGCCCTCAACCTCGGATCTGACAGATTTCTCGCCTGGTCTTCCATGACCCTCACGGACTTGGGTGACACTGGCTAGTGACGCTATGGAATGTTTCTCAGTTTGGGTCGGACACGTTCCCACAGTCAGACCTGCGCACTGGACCAGACACGACACGCCGCACTCTCTGAGCAGCGCGGGGGTGAGGGAAGCGCTCGTCTCTCCAAGCACGGTTTAAACACTGCGCCTTTAATGCCCTGCTGCATCTCCACCAACACAGGCTAAAGTACGGACACTGATGAGCACAAAGGTGTGCTTATTCTGAGTTTTAGGGAGTATCCGTTACACCAGAGCTTCAAAAGAAAATGTGGAACTCGGAAAACCAATCTAAGAATGTAAGTTCCGTGCAAACAGGAATTTAAATCTTGTTTACGGCTGCGTCCCCAGCGCCCAGAAGCACCCACAGTCTGAGCGGCGGACGGAAGAGCTCTGAGAAACAAACACCCGCATATTCGTAGAAGGATGGTATCAACTCGGCTAGCGTGGGAAAGCTCAGTCAGCCGAAACGGCGCCTCTGCGCTGTTCACGCGCTTGTTTACAATAGCCAATTTCCAAGCTCCCTCCAACCGCTGCCAGCCACACAGGGGGTAGCGCCTGTCGCGTAACACACACGCGGCTCCACAGACACAGACAAGCGGCTGCTACAACCCAATCTGGGCAGCCACACCCGCGCTGCTCTAAGGCGATGCAGCAGGACTGTCGGGCCAAACACACAGCAGACGGGAACGGGTCTACCTTCGCCTCACCTCCCTGAACTCTGCCCCATGACAAATTTCACAGATAAACCGTATAAAGTGATGATGCCACAGGCTCCACCGTCGGCTACCTTGGCAAGCGCCCCGTCCACCAAAGCCACAGGACGTCTGCTCCGCTGTGTATCACTTCTGACAGCCGACAGCACAGCCAGGTTCAGACCATGCTCGGGATGTACAACAGCAGGAGCTCCAAGGACATTTAAAGGCATAAACATGATATTTCTTTTTTTTTTTTTTTTAAGATTTTATTTATTTGACAGAGATCACAAGTAGGCAGAGAGGCAGGCAGAGAGAGAGGGGGAAGCGGGCTCTCTGCTCAGCTCATCCCAGGACCCTGAGATCATGACCCGACCCGAAGGCAAAGGCTTTAACCTACTGAGCTCACCAGGCGCCTCAACATGATACTTTCTTAAACTAAACATTTCCTCATCTCCTGATTCACAGTGATGCAGTCTGGGGGTCAGTTACTGAGTTAAAGCTGCTCTTAAATGTTATGATGTTCTGGGGCGCCTGGGTGGCTCAGTGGGTTAAACCTCTACCTTCAGCTCAGGTCATGATCTCAGGGTCCTGGGATCGAGCCCCACATCCGGCTCTCCGTTCGGCGGGGAGCCCGCATCCCCCTCTTTCTCTGCCTGCCTCTCTGCCTACTTGTGATCTCTCTCTCTGTTAAATAAACAAAATATTAAAAAAAAAAGTTATGATGTTCTAAAAAAGTAAAAGCAAATTTTTAATGTTTGAATTAGGCCTTTTATACCTTACTGCAAGTGCCTGTGCTCTTAAGTGGTTTTCCTTGTTCTCCATTCTGACTCATTTTGATTGCATTCAATATTTCACAATTACACAAGAAACTCTGATATCACCTTCATTACTGAATTACCTACGGCAGAATCCGCCCGACAGTCCGACGATGCGGTCCCAAGAAAAGACCCCCGTACAGCTCAGCTCTCTGCTTTCTCAGACGCTCAGAGCCATTCATAGCATGACCGGCCGTGTGCGAGAGTACCAATTCCACGGGCCTCAGACCACTGGAACTGTCAATTTGTGATAACGTTTTAACAGACAGCCGAAGATGATGATGTGTTCTGAACTTTTTTCTTGGCAGACTATTTCCCGTGTCTCATCATCTTTTCTAGTCTTTGTAAACTATCTGGTCAGCTACTGAAATTGAGACCCTCTCATGCCCCTTGTGAATGGGCGTTCAAAGGTCCCCCCATTCTGTCATACGGGGGTTGAAGATAAATGGCCCCCAAGGAAAGCTGTGCTCGGAGATTTACGTCGCACAGCAGCACGCTGTTTCCCAAGCAGACGCGCTGTCGCACAAGCGTATCCACACGTAGATAATTGTGTGTTTGCAACTCCGAACTACAGGTCACAGGTTAAACCCTAGAAACGATCCTCAAGAGACGGGGTTCACTCACGGTGGAAAAGCATGCGCCATCTACCCCCTCGAGCCCCTGCGGTGAACACCAACCCGGGCTGCGCAGCACCACTCGGCCATCAGCCCACGCGGGGCGTCTGCGCCGGTGACGCGAAGCCGCTGCACCAGCGTTGGCAGAGCCCTGGCCGGATACGACCCATGCAACCCGCTTCTCCACGGGCAGGACACGGCTGTAATCGTTTCAGTGCTCCCAGCACCGCACACGGAAAACAACACCCTCTGAACTGGCAAACCTTTTGCAGAAAGATGTAATTCTGCAGCATTTTCACAGATAATAAATAAAATCTGCAAATAACTCATTACCCCACTGCCTGGGAGTTGCCTTACCATGTGTTATAATTCTCGTGACTATTCATAAAAGAATTAAATTTAAAATTCGGTTTTAAAAAAGCAGTTAGGTTAAGTACTAAATGAAAATGCAATTCTGAAGCAAGCTTTTGAAAGTGATTCTTTTAAAGTCTACTTACCACCCTATTTACCCAAATTCTACACAACACAATAGGGCACAAAACAATTAAGTCATACATCAAACAGCTTGATGCCGCTGTTCCAGTTCTGAAGTCTGGTGGTCGCCCTTCACCGCTGGAGGATGACGACTCCGTCCTTGGGAGGAACCCTGCTTCCGCGTTCAGTCCCCACAGGGCAGGAGGAGCCCTTGCCAACCAGGACGGAATCTTGAGCAACTGAACACCCAAATGTGTTCTAGGAGTAGAAGCAAACGCTTCCTTCCACACATGCTCCCATATTTATAACACTATAGGAAAAGAGTTTCTGGACATTTATCTTGTAAGGACACAAGAATATTGCCGGTATCCACGGATGTGGGACTTACAGTCAGGGATCACACAGACGTGCTGTGTTCGACCCGCTGACTTCACTCATTACTCAACTGGCTCATGGTCATCACCAATTAGTAAGAAAGTTTCCCACGTCCACTGAAGCACTAACACGTCCCCCACAGGCAGATCAGAGGCTCACCTGATAGGTCCAACTCCTCGGTAGAAGACAAAGTAGCCAGACTCCAGCTGTCGCTGCGGGCCGCCAGCACAAACTTGTGAGCGCAGATGTGCCTGTCCCCAACCTTTATCTTCAGATCACTGGGGAAGAAAAACACCCACAGACATAAAGAGAAACGTCACCATGATTAGGTACAGCGAGGACTCAGAAATGACAGGAACACGCACGGACTGATCCCCATATACCTGGAGAAGAAGAAACCCTGCGCCAGCACTGAATTCTAATGGGCCGTGCATGTGACACACGTCGCCCCACACGCCTGTACTGCCAGCTTCCAGCTGTAGTGCACATGGGACATTCTGCTTTTCCCTATGGGACTCTGAAGGTGGCAAACCTACTGGTTAGACAGGATGATTAATATTCACATAAAATGTAGAAGAGGTTTCATGCAGACTAAACGAAGGTGAATCATCAGGGAGAGAAGGAAAACGTGGAGACCGTGACACAGGCTCTGGGACCACAGAGCTGCACACTGGACCCACTGACGGTCAAGCAAGGGGACGCAGAACACTACAAACTGGCTGTGACCAAGCAGTCCGGAACGTGAAACCAACATCTACACTCCTGCTCTTGACAGAAACATTCCGACCTATTACGGGACGCATTCTGCTCAACCATTTAGAAAGAAATGGGGTGGGAGAAATTTTTTTTTCAAACACATTTCCATATTTATGACAAACCATTATTGTGAAAAGAGCTTTTCAAATATTTGTATTTGACTCTGAAATGTCAAATGCTGAGGGAGGAAAGCGTCTGGGCATTTAACAAAAACCTCTGGATGACCCACTAGGCCGACACAGCCATGTGCCACATGGCTTTGCTGGCAGCACTAATCCGGAGTCATTAATTATCACCATCCTGTGTACGTACAAGTTCTTCTGTTTTCATACGCCCCTTCAAAACGTGTTGGCTTGGAAACCTTCACAAACTAAAGACAAAAGTCACTACAATAAAAGAAAAAAATCTATGCCATGAATTAACGCATCCACTTAAGAGGAGCCCCAAGCAGGATACGGTTTCTGCGTTAGTGAGGACACAGACGTGGTGTATCCACGAACGCACCATCCAGGATGCAGGCCTGTGAGCGCTTCTGGCTCCTCTGAAGACTGAGCAGCCGCTAATCACGTTAGATCAGAAGAGCAAAGGATACTCGGTATTTCCAATTATTACAAACTACTCAAAACCGCAAAACGTTATTAATCAAGCAGTAAAAAGGAAAAAATATTTTACTTAAAATACAACAAATCATATCCTTTGTTAAATTTCTAAAACTCAGTGAAAACAGGAAGCTGCTCACAAAACACAAATGATTTTTAAACTCTGAATTTATGTATCAAGTATTAAATTGTAGTAACTTACATGAAGACTTATTGTTTCCTGTTTCAGCCACTGACTTCTAGCCACAAAATCATAAAAAGGAATGTTTCTACATATTCATGAATGTCAGGCCAAACAGGGGAAATGGAAATACAGACAAGGACCTCATTAATAATTTCTAATTAATAACAATTTCTACAAATACAATTCAAAAATGGAAGACTGGATACGTTTCTGAGAACTCTACGCAGAAACAATTAGGAGGGTAGTAATGTTTTTAAATTTTCATTCTAGGGGCGCCTGGGTGGCTCAGTGGGTTAAAGCCTCTGCCTTCGGCTCAGGTCATGGTCTCAGGGTCCTGGGATCGAGCCCCACATCAGGCTCTCTGCTCAGCGCGGAGCCTGCTCCCTCCTCTCTCTGCCTGCCTCTCTGCCTACTTGTGATCTCTGTCAAATAAATAAATAAAATCTTTAATAAGTTAATTAATTAATTAATTAATTTTCATTTGAGGGGCACCTGAGTGGCTCAGTTGGTGAAGCGTCTACCTTGGGCTCAGGTCATGATCTCAGGGTCTCGGCATCGAGCCCCACATCAGGCCCTCTGCTCAGTGGGGAGCCTGCTTCCCCCTCTCCCTCTGCCCCTCCTCCCACTTGTGCTCTCTCTCTCAAATAAATAATAAAAATCTTTAAAATTTTCATTCCAGTCAAAGAGCTTTTCCCTGTAAAATATGCATACTAGGATGTTGTTACTGGAGAGAAAGCATAAATAAGAGCATCCTGCTAGTTTCTCAAACACCAAGAGAACCCCGTAAGCTTGATCGCTAGAAGAATGATGTATTACCATCACTTGGAACTATTTTAAGGGACAAAAGCCTTCTCCTGAACTTAAGTAAAATTAACGTGACCAATTTCTTCCACATTTCTCAATTTAACACACTTTAACACCCACTCTTCAATTACTCTAGTTACTGAGATGCACATACAAATACTATTTAAATCCTTCAACAGAATGCGTATTATGCACAAAGCATCGTGGTGGGCTTCTCCTTGTTTTGGAAAAGGACCGCCTGCTTTAGAAAGTGATCTTCCAACATCAGGTCCTCCGTGTCCGAAGCTCACATCCTCCCGGAACGCCCTGTGCCCACTAATCTCCAGGCTGCACTGGGTGAGGGACAGGCTTCGGACGCACAGGGGAGGCCCACTGCAGCCGTAGCACCCGCGCTGCACGCCCAGCTCCCTGCCACGGCCTCCCGGAGCGGCTGCGGTAGGAATGGACACGCGTGACAGAGAAGTGACAGAGAACGTGAACGAACGACGGGAGCTCTCAGGACACGAGCCTGGAAGTGGAGAAGAAGTGCTCACAACAGAAACAGGTCAGGCTCCCCGCACCAGGGGAACCAGCTTCCACCAGTCCACGGAAAAAAGAGGGGAAGACGAGAGGCGATGACCTACATATTTCACAATTTAAAAGGCTGCCCTTTACTCAGAGTATGTACTTCCTCTGTTTGAGGTATTAAGTTTTTCTTTCTTTTATAAATAATTAAGTTGAAAGACAGCAGTTCTAGATTTTGATCTATTTTTTTTTTTTTTTAAATGAGAGAGCACGCGTGTGTGTGCAAGAGAGTGAGAGCGCTTGAGCAGGGGGTAGGGGCAGAGGGAGAACAGACTCCTGCTGAGCAGGGAGCCTGACACGGGGCTCGATTCCAGAACCCTGGGATCACAACCTGAGCAGAAGGCAGAAGCTTCACCAACCGAGCCACCCACACGCCCCTAGATTTCGATCTATTTTCAATGTCATCATTTATTTTGGGATTGTACTAAGGCTTAGCTAGCCTGACTGCCCGTCTCCTCCGCAGCCAAACTCCCTTGCATGCACGTCCATACCCGTGTCTCTTCTCCATACCCACTGCCACCGTCCCGACTCAGCCCTTCTTCCTCTCTGGTCTGGACGACGCACAATAGCCCGGTCACTGCAGGGCTCCCTTCTCTGCACGGTGCTGCCTACACAATGCCAGCAGGTTCCCCTTCCTGAAACACCACTTTGACAGTAACAGTCCAACAGCTCGAAACACTATCCCATACTGCCTAGAGGATCAAGTCCAAATGTCCCCCCTTGGCCGCCCAATTCAAATCCCCCTACCTTTCCCACCTCTCCCAGCGCCCCCTCCAGGGACACGTACCCCAAGACGGTCCCTCCCGTGCCCCGCGTGCTCTGCAGGCCCCACACCTCAGCCTGCTCTCAGCCTCCCCGCTGCTAACACGGCTGTCTTCATCTCCCGAACCCTGCCCGGCCTCGAACATTCACCTCGAAACTCAGTAACAACAGCTACTACGTGCCAGACAGCGATCGAAGTACTGCAAACACGGACTTATTCACTTAGTCCTCATAGGAACACAGCGGCAACCCACGGGACCCGCACCTCACGGGTGAGGAGCTGAAGTGCGTCTTACAGCTTCAGACCACGCAGCCAGCAGGTGCCCGCTGAGGCGCTCACACAGGCTGTGCAGCTCCAGACGCCGTCCTCGACCATGCTAGCCTGCCCGCTTGCGCCAAGACCCCTTCCTGGGTCATCCCAAGAGGAAGGGACCCTTCCTTCTGAATCCCCGGACACGTGAGCCACTTCCTGTCTACCCCGTCGATGCGATCACCATGACTCCCTATGCTCTGTGCTAAAAATAAGCGGGAAATAAAAGAAACAAAATCCAGCCCTGAAGAGCCTACACTCCAGGGACTACAGGGCTGCTGGCATCCTGCTTAGAGAGGAAGAGCCCGGGGAGAGAGAGAGAGAGAGAGCGGTTGCGGGGCGGCCGGTGGCGCGGCTCACCTGTACTGCTCCTGCTCATAGAGGCCGGCCACGATCGCCAGCAGGCGGCTGATGAAGGACTCACTGCTGCTCTCCTTGTCCGCTTGTGCAGCCAGAAGCGCGCATCTCTTCTCCGTCTCCGCCAGCGTCTTCTGCAGCTTCACGTACTCCTGTCGGAGAAGCATCAAGTGCTTCTCCAGCTTGGCCACCTCCTCTGCGAGGGAGACAAAGCCGCAGCTTTACTATGGCAGGTGTGGCGTGGACAGCAACCCACAGACAGGACCACCACGAAAGGACGGTTTCTTGCTGACACTCTTTTCTTAGTGATACTCCCGGCAATACCCGTAATGGCTCTGTTAATGGCTGCCACGGCGTCACTGGGCCAGAAAGACCCTCGTGGTCTAGGAGTTTCTCTAAAGATCGATACTCAAGAAATGACAAGGAACAGACACACGGAAGATGTTCCAGGCTCCTGCCCTGCAAATCCTTCATCATCAAGCCACGAGTCTCAAGGAAAAGTTACCAAAATCACCCGGGACTGTTTTCCCAAACCACTGGGAGTGAAAACTGATTGCTCCATGTCCTGCACAAACTCTCTCAGGCAGCTTCAGAAACACCCCGTGAGGTCGGCACAATCACTAGCCGCACAGCCCGGGTGAGGATGCCAGGCAAAGAGAGACTAAGACTTAGAGGGCGGACCTGCAACTGGCGGGCAGGGGCACTGGGAAGCGCCCCCGCACTCTCACACCTGTGGTCTGTCACCCACCATCCCACGCCACCTGACGTCCCCCCTTCAGGAAAGAAGCAGCCAATGATGGTTCCAATGAAAGCACGTCTCGTTCACAGGCATGCTGGGCCGGATTAAAAAGGCTGGTTCTGAAATTCAATAAACGTTTGCCGAGCGTCTACTAGGTCCCAGACACTGCACAATGGTAAGCAAGTTCAGATGTCTCTCTCCTCGGAGCTTCCAGTTTGCTGGGGAAAGCAAACTTTTAGGGTTACAGTAACAATGCTAACCATCAAACACAGAACTACAGCTCTAGGCGCACGAGAAGGAAGGAGCAGACGTGTGAGAATCCACAGTAAGTGTAACTTAGGATGCCAGGGAAGACGTCCCTGGGGAAGGTCACGTTCACGAAACCTCCCTTCTCCGAATGCTGTGCTCCAGCGCCTTGCTGGGGCTCATGGCACGGTGCTCACCAGTGCTCACACAGATCACAGCCAGAGACCCGGATCTCTGACCACGTGCTGCTCCTGCCCCTGGGCCTTGGCCCCTTTCCCCCTTCCCACCCCTTCAGACACGGCAAATCCTGACACTGCCCTCAGCCCACGTCCCACGCAACCTGCTTCATTCTCCTTATCTTGAGAAAACTGAGCTGCTGTCAACAATTCTGGCCACACCAGCCACCCGGTGCTTCCTCAGGGCAAGGACCTCCCTCCTACGCAAGCGCGCAACCCCTCCATCTAGCCTCCGAACCCAACACCCTGCTCGGGCTCTTTGCTTTGGCATCAGCCTCCCTTCTCAGCAACTTCCATCTCTTCCAACTGGGTCCTTCTCCTCAGCACATACACCTGCTCAAGACCCTAATAAAGCAAAACCTCCTTCCACAGCTCACCTGACCCCCTGTGCCCTTGCACATCTAGCTACCGTACACCCCTTCCTCGCCCCACTCTCCTGTCACTCCCTCCTGTGTCCCCACCATCCCCTTGAAACGACTCTCCACAATGACCTAACTGCTAGTCCAACAGACACTGGACGGTTCTCCTCCTGGACCTACTCCCCATCTTCATCCCTCCCCCACCACCTGCTGTCCAATAGCTAATTCTTTATAAACATGGAAACAATCAAAAACTGGTTCAAAACACAAGAAAGGTTGAATAAACTAAGTGTGATACTTGGTTGTAAAGTTATTGTGCAACAAACACTTTCTAAGAAATACACAACAGTCTGTATGTGTTCAAAGATAAATAATATATTAACAGAAAAAAGCAGGCAGTGAAACTAAATATATTTTGTAATTCAAATTTTATTATAAATATTCACGTATGTGGTAAGTACAAAGACAAATACCACTAACTATCAGCAGATCTCACGAGTGGGTGTTACTGCACGTCTCCACACATCTCAGGGATTCTGTAACAAACGTGCTCTGCTTTCATAAGCAGAAAACAGTATTTTAAGAGAAATCTGTACAAACACAAATACAGATAACGGACTGTTTCTTCACACATCTACTAGGACTCATTCTCCCTCTCTTCCAGAGGACCCATGTTACACAAGTACCCGGACAGAAAGCTAGCGTGGGTCTCAGGTAAGTCAGCGTTCCTGGAGAAACAAAGCAGGAGGCACCTGCAAGACAAAACAGTGCTTGGAGCTGCCGAACGGACCCCTGACCACGCGAGCGACACACTACAGGACAAGCCCGAAGAGACGACTTTCTTCCCAAAGTACGGCCATCATTTGGCCTACGTGTATTTCAACAAAACACCGCTCTCAAAGACACCAGCTAAATAAAGAACAGTACTGATGATGATCCTTCTACGATATTTAAAAATATAAGCACACAGCATCTACAGGTACACAGAAGCCCTTAGGAAGGGCGCAGTCACGCTCCTACTCTCGCGGGACAGACAGACAGGGTCACTGGGTTTGCAGCACCCTTCACAGCAGCTCTGATGGACACGCCAAGGATTTTCATTACTGACCTCAAAGGGAGAAGTCTGTAGCACAAAGCACTGCGTTAATACATTTTGTATAAGGTAGGAAATTTATACTTTTTTTCCTGTACAGAAAGAAACAGGAAGAAAAACTAGGACTGAACTTCCAGAAGTGGTAACAGGAAGTGTGAAAGGACATATGCTCAAGAATCCTATCAAAGTCTGTTCAAACCTGTGACCACTGGAGCCACATGAATTTACGGCGTCAGCAGTTGTGACAGCAGCCACCTGGGGAGGAACAGCAGGAGGGCAGGACTGGGGAGGCACATGAGGGCCTCTGGGGTGCCACTAACACGCTTGTTGTCTAACTTAGTCAGTGCACATTCCATTTGGGGAGTACACTGAGTTCTACACGTGCTATGATTTGCTCTTTTCCGCATGTATTTTATGCTCCAATTAAAGAGCTGAAAACTTGGGCCTCTGGGTGACTCAGTCGTTAAGCGTCTGCCTTGGGCTCAGGTCATGATCCCAGGGTCCTGGGATTGAGCCTCGCATGGGGCTTTCTGCTCAGCGGGAAGCCTGCTTCTCCCTCTCCCCTCCCCTGCTTGTGTTCTCTCTCTCTCTCTCTGTCAAATAAATAAAATCTTAAAAAAAAAAATTGGAAACAACTGATATACAAGAAAACAGCTGATACATTGTGTTTTGGAGCCAAACTGACAGGAGTCCAAATCGTTCTGGTAACTAGCTCTGGGTCTGGAAGGCAAGTTCATCTCTCTGAGCTTCAGTTCACGTATAAACTGGGGTCGAGGGGCTGCTTCCCGGTGCTCCTGCAGGACTGAATGACAACGTACCGTGGCTCACGTGTGGCTCATGTGTGCCTTCACGATCGCCAGCATTTCCTCCGCGTGCCCGCATTCCACAGCGATATGATTACCGGATACACAGTTGTAACTGTTACAAAGTTTACACAATTTTTTTTGAGTCCTGACCATCAGAATGGGATTCAAATGCTTTATTAACCTCTGAACCAAAACTGATCGATAAAAGTCCTGGCAAATCAAAGGGACGTTATGAGAAGTGTAAAGTGATCAAAGTCCAAGAAAACGAGCAAATACTGAGAAACGCACAACGAGCCGCTTCGAGCGCCGCATCACCTCGGACCGCAAGTCTGCGCTGACAGCGCCCACGGCGAACCGCAAAGCCTCTCGCACTCGGAAGCGCCAGCATTACTCACTTGGGGAGGTGCGAGGGAGGCTGTGCTTTGAGGAAACCTCTCCGAGGGGCAACCCCTAACGCGCTCAGTAAGAAGTCAGAATCTGGAAACAGCAGCACGTGCACTGTCACACAGAAGTCACCGGAGAGAGAAGAGCGTGGTGTGGCGAGAGAGACTTGAGTGGTGGGACCATTTATTTTCTGTTGTAAGCCTTGCAATATTTGACTTTGAATTCTATGTGCACTTATAAGCAAACATATGGCTTTATACACGTTTTCAAGATTGGGGAAAACAGAATTAATTTTCTAATACCCAAATATGAGGGTTTCTAGAGATCACAAAACTTATGACTGAAAGGAACCTAAAGACCATCTCTTTGAGTTCAACTCGCAGATGATGCCCCAGAGGAAGAGAAAGTGGCGGAATCCATGGCCACTGGCCACCAGCCCCTCCTCTCAGGCTCTGCTGGAGAACCACCACTCGGGCTGTTGGAACCGGACAGGGCGCAAACCACACAGCAGACCTGGGGCGGGCTGGGGAAGGCGGACATCTCGCACGGCCTCAGGAATGACAGCCTGGGAGGAAAAGCTCAGCCCCAGCACAGCTCCCCAAGTCACGCGCAGGGCCCCTGCCCCGGGCACACAACTGAGCAGACGGAAGACCCGCTGAGAGGCCTTCTTCTGTTCCCGCGCTGGTCCACCGGAAGACGTCCACCCGGACATGATCTAGTCCTGCTCAGTAAGAACGAAGTGCCGGTGTCGTGCCAGTGCCAAGGCAAAGAAGGCCACCTCGGCACGTGGGGTTTTTGCTTACGAAGCTACAGGTAGAGACAGCGCTGTGAGGGGACCGGAAGAGACCAGGAAGCCGGCGGCCCGGGGCGGGGGCTCAGCCGCAGGGCCTGAGCCCAGTCCTGGGACTAAGCCCCGCATCAGGCTCCTTGCTCGGCGGGGAGCCTGCTTCTCCCTCTGCCTGATGCACACAGTCTCTCTCTCCCCACCCTCCAACAAACGAGTAAATAAAATCTTTAAAAAAAAAAAAAAAAATAGATCATGAAGCCACCTGGCTTAAGCCAGAGCAAGCAAAGTTGTCCCAGGAAAGTGGTGTTTTACCTCAAACAACTTAGATAAAGCCTGTAAGTTATCTCAGCACACTGGGTCCAGAAAATACAAGGAAAAGGCTTCAGTCTTTTACTTCCTTGGTCAGATTCTCCCCTTAAACTAGTTATCAGTCAACAGGTTTGTAGAACAGAACTGATACTCAACTCTGAGAAACAGAAATAGTTAGCAGGCAAGGCCTACGCTCACTGGCAAACACGCCAGCCCCTCACCCGCCTCTGCCTAAGC